CAAGAACTAACCTCTGAGATATAAGCGTATTAAGATGTTGAAAATCTTTGAACTGCTCTGCTGTAAAATTAAGAAAACTGAGATACGTCACTACGTGAGATGACCGTCGATGTGTGTGATTCCACGGCTGTTGACGAGCAGTGTATACCACTGAAGATGATCATACTCGATCATATAGAGTACATTTCCGGTATATCTCTCGCTTCAGCAAATTTCAGCATCCTAACCCAACAATTACGTGAGAAACGGGGGTGTTTCCATAAAAGATGAGACACAACTGAAATTTTCAGAACTGAAAATTTCATGACAAAAATATGAATAGTCATTGAATTGGGCGTCCTGATTTCGAATTCGAAGTGATTTTCAACCTATTTCGACTCCTAATATCATTTTCCGGAAATCGGGGAGGTTCCATGGCTGTTGGCGAGCAGTGTATATCACTGAAGATGACCCCACTTGATCATAGAGTGCAGTTTTGCTATATCTCTCGCTCCAGCAAATTTCAGTATCCCTACCCAACGAATACGTAAGATACAGGGGTGTTCCCATTATAAGTGAGACACACTGTATAAGTGATTTTTTCGAGAGCTTCTGTGATAATCTTCCTGTACTATATACCTGAAAAATCATACATTTCTTACATTCAGTTTTTGTCATGAATATCAATAGCGGTTTTTGATGATTATGTTGTGAAAAGTCTATTAAAAAACATATAACTTCAACTTCGAAAGAATATTTTATTATTTCCTTCTAAAAATATCATGCTATCAGGGGATCATTCCAGCCATCTCTTCGAACCCACACAGGTTTTCATGAGAATTCTTCTTCAATAATGATAAAAACTCACAGTTTATGTATGTTGGTATATATGAATTTTAACTCTAGTTAAAATTCATATACACCAACATACATAGATATCCTATACCTACCTCTAGGTAGGTATAGGTTATCTAATGTTGAACAGAGATAATATAGTCCCCAATTGAAATACAATAAACCACTGAAAATAAACCAAGTTCGAAAGTATACAAATAACAGAGCTAAACGTTTGAAAACTCAAAATAAAATGAACATTTCTTTTACTTACTACTATAAAATAAAAGTATTCGTATTATTCCAATAAATTTGTAGAGGGACAAATCAGATGATTTGCCCCAAAATGTCCAATGGCCCAGAGAGTAGTACCGACATTCGCCGTTCTGGCGCTACGATCTCAATCTCAGTCACCTATAGCCATTATAATTATAATAAAATTCAGTGACATCAATCTTTGGAGTAGAAACATGAAAACGCAGCACATAATATATATCATGTCAAATCTTTATAATTTGAACCAACCTGTATAGCACACTTTGATGATTGCATGTTCTTGATATTCTTCCGGACTCTAAGTATATTTTCGAAATGAATATTATTCTTGAAGAATTTCAGCAGTCACATTGTTCTCAATAAACTCTAAATACGGGCTCTTCATAAATCTCTTTCTGATGGCCCCCATTCGTTGTTTTACTGCCCCAAGCGCCAGGCCTAGATCTGTCTCATAGTTCGAGAGCCAGTGCATTTTTCATCTCACTGTCAGTGAATTATCAATGAACTATTATCATTATAGTATGCAGTATAGTTTATGTATACTCCGTTGATATACAGAGTCTTTATCTTCTCCTTCGAAGCACTGGTAGGCAGGTGAACACCCCTGCACATAGGCCTCCATATTCCGGCCCATTTTGCGCCCACATGTTCCGACATTCAGCTAGGTATGGCGATTTCCTTGGAGAAGTTCAGCAGCTTCCTCAGCTGAATATCTTCCACGTCCTCTGTCCACAAAATTATGTTGCCAAGGACAACCTTCCCATGATGTGTCAGTGCTAGACACTCAGTGAGGGCGAGGACATGTGATGAAGTTTCGTCATCTTCCAGGCACCATCTGCAAACGGAATCAACTTTGATCCCAATAAGCTCTAGGTGCCTTTTGAGGTGGTCTCGCCTGTTGAGAGACCTCTTTTCTCAACCTATTCGAAGGTTACTTTATGTGGAGCTCCGATTGTCTCATTCATGGTTTGTCCTGTCATATTTTGAGGAATTGCTTTTGGTGCTGTCCCTCCATGAAGGACAGTGTAATTATGAAAATTATAATTTGATCATGAATGCAATATTTCGAGTTTTATAATTATTGAGTTTCACAGTTGGAAATAAACCATGTTTCAGATTTTGATTGAAAAACTTTGAAAGTATGGTCCAAATCGTCATATCAGCTTCCATCAAATACATAAATAGTACAGTCATCTGCATAACAAATACATTTAGTTGGACTCATATAATGAAATATATAATTGACATAGATGAAAAATAGTAGTGGCCCAAGGATGGAGCCCTGAGGGACCCCAACTGGATGTTTCTGATTTCAGAACAACAGTTATCCATATAGACCGATTTTTTTTCTTCCATATGAGTATGATTCAATTAATGAAAATATTACAGACATTTCGTAGAAATTGAAAAAAGATCAATAACTAAAAATTGTTATTAGACGTTCAAATTCGAGTTACATGTGTAGAATTGGAATAGAAACAATTTTTCTCAGTGAATATTTTTGAAATTTGAACGAATAGCTTATTTCCAGAGATTAATATGGAAAAATGTAACTTTTGAATGCCCAAGTCGAATTTCGAGATGAATTATTATTGAGAGTTCTTCCCACTTCATGAATGACACTTTATACATGTACAGGGTGTCCCACTCAAAGGTGTCACCCTCCCTGCTTATTCTAATAATTCTCAACACATTTTTGTGTTTCGTAAATTCAATTCCATTACAAATTTCTTGAATCTGCGCTAACTTTCCTCTGTATCAACAAAATACAGGGCGACTCAAAAAATTTTCATTTTCATAATCCAATGAAGCTCGTAAATCTCAATTGAAAAAAATATATTCACGGGCTTCATCGAATTATGGGGAGAAATATAGATCATTCCATTTGAGAAAAATGTTTTTCTGAACCACCCTGTATTTTGTTGATGAAGAAAAAGTGAGCACAGATTCAGAAAGTTGATGAAAAACTATTCCACAAAAGTTTTTGAATGACCAAAATACATACAGTGTTCTTGTACCAACTTGTCAACGACCTTTGTCATGATTCTTCAGCCCAAGTTATTCTGAACTGTGTGTTCTGTGTAGGCTTCGTTACTTACTCCATACGCCACCTTAGGAGCAGCACTGTTAATTGAAACGCATTCGTGAATCGTTCAGGAACCTCTGATGAACAAACTTGTTTTTGAATTATTTCGAAAAGTTATTTCCCAGCGTTTAATGCCTTGCGGCACCTTTTCAATAGACCATACTGCATACCTATCTTCTGCTAAAACGTTTATTTGCCGTTTTCCAATCAAGTAGAGAATTAACAAGAAGCGACAAATTCTCAACTCCTAATTACAAAGATTATACCTATATTATACAGGGTGGTCCGTTTTTTCAATACGAAAATTTAACAGGGTATAGTACTCGTTGAAATAATAAATAAACTTCCCATGAACATGTACTTTTAAACGCATCGTTTTCGAGATATAGGGTGTTCAAGTTTCTTTGAAAAATCGATTATTTATTGATTTCTCAGAAGTGCTATAACCGATTGTGATGAAATTCACATCTATTGTGGAAATATCAATGAGCTAACTTTTAGACCTATTACTGTTCATGAATGACTTACATATTTTCAGGGGCGTGCATTTCAAAATATAATTTTTTTGCCCTCTTAGATTTCTTATATAATAGCTTCGTTTCAGAAGGAAAAATAAAAATCAAACCTATGCAACCCAATGAAAGAAACATTGTAATGCATCAAATCTAGTTACCATTGGCCGTTTACCAGACCAAACATGTAACCATTGCAAATCAATCATTTACGTATTAGAAGAGCCACAACAGGCTAGACCGCAGTGGGTATCCTGCTATTTGTCTTCAATGTTGCCGAGCTAGTACATTCTTACTAGTTAGTATTTGAGATATAAGGTGTCAAAAATACGCTTCAGAATAAATATAGTTTTTTAATCAAAAGTTAGAAACTAAATCCCATAGGCATATTGACAAACGGCAAAATTGAAATAAAATTATTACACTTTTTGATAAAAACACGGAATAACTCCAGTTTGTTATTTCTTTGATAGAACTTTCAGAGTGAATGCACATTTAACAGTGAACAGTGAGCAACTGAGCATAGCATTCTTCTTTAATTGATATCAAGTAGTATTATTTAACTAAAAAATGTTATAAAATCTTACAAGCGAGCTTTTTTCATTGAAACTTGAAAAATAAATGAAAAATGATTACCGTAGAATGGGGTTACTTGGAACAATTTTCAGATTCAAATATACGCGGTAAAGTTATTGACCATGGTAGGGAATTTTGCACTATCATAAAAGATGTATGAGTTGATAAACTATAATTATACAAATATTCAATTTCGCATGTTCAGTCATTTGGATGATATTTTAAAAAAATATAGCTGTTCCAAGTTACCCGCTGATCTGAAAACTTGGAACAGTGATACAAAAGTCCCGTTGTTGTCAATTTACCGACTTGTGGGCATACTTGGAACACGTTTATTTGTTTTAGGGTCAAATAAATCAATCCAGAATTAGTTTGCGATCAAGTAACGGAATAAATAAAATATTTTGAAGGTAATATATTATATTCCTCAGCTTGTTATTGAAGCATTTCATAAAAAAAAACTCAAAAAAATCTCTAGAATACCATAATTCTTAACAAAAAAAAAACACTAGGTAATAAAAAAAAAATTAAAAAATTATTCTCATCAGGAACCTATTATGATCACAATAAGCAGGTATGGATACAATAATTCGCGTCAGTCTTGTTGCTCGTTCAGTTCTTTCACGGCTGGACAATTCAGGATGTCTATCGCGAAAATGGAAAACCCAATCTCTTCCAGGACGGTTCTGAGTAAATGGTCGTTCTGATCTTCCACAACTATCTAGATAAGATTGCACAACTAGCTGAAGGTCTGTGGTGGTAAGAGGAAAGCCCCATCCTCCTGCCACTTGTAAACCTTCTACGATTTTCTGTTCCTCTTGTTCTGTCAGGACTGTGGGTCGTCCATATTTATTCATATTTTTGTTCTTGAGCTTCCTGGATAGAGTGCCCCAAGATATCTTGTATTTTTTAGATGCTTCACGCAATGACATAGACTTAGATTTCAGCACTCTAAGGGCTTCCGCCAATGTGTCTTCTGTATAATCCGCATATCTTCGTGTAGCAGGCTTCCGCTTATGGTTTCTCGGCATTTTTCAAAGTAATGATGATGACAGCCCTGAAACAGTTCAATTTTATAGCTTACTACCCAACTATATTGATATATCTGAAAAAAATGGAACACATCCGAAAACTTGGAACGTATTCGAAAACTTGGAACGCCTGTTCCAAGATTTCGGCGAATCTTCCCAACTTCGACTTTCGTGATGAAAAAAAAAATATTGGCAACACTGTTGAGAGTTGAACAGTGATTAAGCGGCATTCCGCTAGAGAAATGGTAACTGCACATAACCTATATGAAATGAACGCCGTATGTTGAATTCATAATGCCGGTTGACAGGAAGTTTTTAATGTCATTTTTTTCTGTCATCTACCTGCTTATATTGTCGATACAATATACAACATTCTTGAAACAATATTTATATGCCACTTACCTTCAAACAACGAATATATAACTACACAAAACAACTGTGCACGAAACAATGTTTTAAAATGAAATCAGCTGTTGATTTCAGCGGGTAATTTGAAAATGTGAAGTTTCGTTCCAATTTACCCCACAGTTCCAAGTATCCCCATTCTACGGTACCCGAAAAATTTGTGTAATTATTACCTTCGCCACCCCAGATTCAGCCGCCACTGAATAGTTTTTATGAATAATTTTTATTCAATCTACTGAAGCTCAAATAGTTTAGTATCTGTGAAAAATTTCGTTAATTCATCTACCGTTTCTAACTTTTGATTAAAAAAATATATTCAGAAGCGTATTTTTGACACCCAATATCTCAAAAACGAAGCGTTTAAAAGTATATATTCATAGGAAGTTTTTTTATTATTTCAACGAGTACTATACGCTGTTAGATTTTCCGTATTCAAAAACGGACCACCCTGTATAGCAATCAAAGGCTCAGATGTCGATTTCGAAACGCCCTGTATATATCGAACGGGTAAATCCGAGGGTGAATCATGGACGGCAATTCCAGACAAGGGAGCTTCCGATAATTGAAAGAACATGTGTTTTTGCAGAACGGTTCATTGTTATTCATTTGTTTTTCAAGCTATAGTATACATTCAAGATCACCCGTATGGCATAACAACTCGATGTTAATTTCCTATCCGAGTTTATGATATGATCAACCACCAACGAACCAAGTATATAGTCCTATACAAATTTTGGAAAATTGGGAAATATTTCGTAGGAAGTTCAACATGTAATTACTTCTATAATACATTAATTTCAGTTTGAAACCTATTTTCATGTGCCTACTTTATTAACATGCTTTAACTATGATGGGAGATTCCTAAAAACATTTCAAAATATGTATCAACTAGGAAGGGTTGCCAATTTTTGATTAATTACTCAAATTTGTGGATGATTTCATTACCTGTGAGCAATTTTGTGAGTTAAGATATGTTCATGCTTGTATGAATTCCGTAAAATTTACGCGAATAAAATGGCGACTGCGAATATCGCAATGAAGTTGAAATATTTGAACTTATTTGCGAATTCGGATGGAATCATAACCACACAGTATTTAGGAAAAAGAAAAGCAATACGTAACTTTATGTGTATGTAATGTGTGCATCATTTGAAACCAATAACAAAATAAAGAAAAAGTATTGAGAAATAATCAAATAATATCACATAATATATCAACAGGTACAAACATTGAAATAGGAACAAAAAACACAAAATAACGAAAACAAAATTCGACTAATTCACTGAAGATAGAAAAGTTTGAACTGTTTTATTTTTATTTTTTTAAATCAAGCGACTATACTTTCGGGAAAATGGAGAAAATGAGAAAAAACTACCTATTTTTATTTTCTGGTTCCCACGAAAAGGGATATCCTGTATAATATTCAGAGAACATCGTGAGAACCAAGGAAAATGAGGTAGGAATTGGTGTTTTTCTTGAATTCCTGGAGGTGATAGGCCTCGGGGAACACCTCCCTTGGCAATGTGTTCCTATTCAATATACAATTCCATATACAAGGTGATCCAAAATTCAATGTAAATATTTTATATATACGTATTGTTGGGATCAGATAAAACTTTTTCTTCATTTAATGATGTGGCCTCCTTCGAGCTACTGTCACTGTAAGATGGGTTGAACACAAAAGATCATCTGAAATTGTGATCATAATGACGAATCAAGTGCAAGTATTGCACTACCGCATGCCACTAAAATAGCAGTCTCAAATGCGTTCCGACATGCGATCACCTCCGTATGTGAGCGTTCAACCCATTGTGTTCGAAACCAATGCCGGATTCTTACATTTTTTCATTGCCCACAAGATCATGGAGTTCAAAGTCAGATAGTTATTTTAGATAATCTTTTTTTTCATCCGTAGATTTTCACCTAACTTCCAGTGGATGTAGCTAGGAGGGGGTTCATTTTAAGAATCATGTTTATATGGAGAAAAGGTCATATTTTGACCCCAACAATATGTCTTCAAAATATTAACATCGAATTTTGAATCGTCCTTTATATGGATGTTTTCTCCTCATTTTCTCTATCTCTCCAAAACTATAATCGTACGTTTTCAATGGCAATACCTAACCAACCTCCGATTTTCGTTCGGAAGGTTCTAACAAATTACAAATGAAATTCTCGTGATATTTCCTATACTCATGTATATTTTTCCATTATTAGATTTGTTTAACAGATTGTTTCGGCATATCAGACAGCACCAGGGGGGGGTCCAGACCCCATGGACCCCCCTCTTAATTACGCCACTGTAAGGAGCACCCTGAATGTTCCTAGTTTCCTTTCGATCATCTCAATCTCAATCTCGAAGGGTGCGTTTTCGTAGAACACCTCGTACATTGTTCCACCGAAGGTATACGGGAAGAGAGGTGTGGGCGGAAGAATCCTAAGAACCCATCTAGAAATTTGTGTATGCCGTTCAAGTACAGGAAGTGCGCTATACGCTACTGAAATTTTCAAGTGAACAAGAATAAAAATGAATTATTCACTAGTACGGTCGCTTACCGAGCACCAGCGACAATCGACAAATGACACAGGCAAGATGAACAACGGTAACAATATAGTCAGGGAGCTAAAGTACGAAAGCGTAGAATGCTCAGATCACGTTTTTCTTACACAGTGATTTTCTTCAACGTTTCCCCCCTTCTATTTTTTGAAAGAGTCAACTCAAGAGCAGACATTTTTTCAATTCTTAAACAGAGTCATCACTCCAAAACCATTCAAATTTATATATTTTTAGTATTTTTTGGTCGATTTTGACGTGTTTTATTCATCAATGATGCCAAGGTAACTTTCAAACGGCTAGAAATTTCCCGTTAGCAAAAACTGACGTCACGATTCCCTAAGTAGGGGCAGACGATACGATTGGGAAGTTAAGGAATATTAGTTATTCATAAATTCTTAACTATGTATTGATAATTTTTTTTTTATGTCCTGGTTCCCACGAAAAGGAATATCCTGTAATGTTCAGAGACCATCGTGAGAACCAAGGGAAATAAGGTAGGAATTGGTGTTCTTCTTGAATTTCTGGAGGTTTTATGCCTCAGGAAACACCTCCCTTTTGGCATTGTGTTCCAGAGCCTCGCTGTTCGTTGGATGAACGAGTCTTTGGAAAGAGATGTTCTGCAGGTCTCCAAAGTGACCAGGAAGGGGTGCGAAGCAACAACTCGACGGGTTAATCTCGCGGGGACTGCCAAGGGAGGAACAATTATTGATATTTCGGAAGAACATCGTCCATGAAAGTATCTATAAAATAGAGCCAGATCGCCAACTATTCTACGGTGTTCCAGAGAAGTGAGTGAGTTTGTGAACGAGGTATCACTCACGAGACGAACTGCCCTTTTTTGAACAGAATCCAACAGTTTCAGGGTATGTTTGGGTGCTGCACTCCAAATATGAGAACAGTATTCCAGGAGAGGTTGGATCTGTGCCTTATATCATAATCTGTTGACTGGAAGTGATATAACTTCTGGTCCGAAACAGAAAACCAAGTTTTTGGGATGCACTTTCAGTAATTGATCTCACGTGATTTTCCCAAGAAAGGTTAGTGCTGATAGTAATACCAAGCATCGAAATGGATGTCTTCAAAGGTATGGTTACTCCTGACAAGCTCATGTTGGGCACAGTGAGATCGGCTCTCCTAGAGAAAAGGCATGCTTGCGATTTGTTTGCATTGAAATCTACCAACTCATTTGATCTGTGTGGCTGGTATTGGAGCCCTGGAAGTGAAGGCGGTATAGAGGGTACTATCATCCGCGAAGCTGTGTACTGGACATGAAGTTGCTTCCAACAAATCGTTGATATGAAGTAGAAATAGTGTTGATGCTAGAATTGATCCTTGCGGAACACCAGCATTTATGACAAGAGAGTCAGTTGAAACTACACTAAATGGAAAGATCTGTTTGAGAGAAAACTAGCTAGCAGAGAACATAGCTGGGGAGGCAAGCCATAAGATGGCAGCTTGGCGAGGAGTCCGTGGTGCCAGACTCGATGGAATGACTTGGAGAGTGCCACGGCTAAGGTTCCACCATATTTTTCAATAGATTGCTGCCATATATGTGAGACGTAAGCGAGCAGGTCACCAGTTGATCGCTGATGGCGGAAGCCATCATGCCTATCGTTGATTATATACCTGAATGTTCCAGGTATTTCATGAGCCCGACATGATCTTTGAAATAATCGATAGCAGTGAGAAAGGTCTGTAGTTGCTAGGTAGTGTCTTTTTGCCTTGTTTAGGAACTGGTTGTACTCTTGCAATTTTCCAATTGGACGGGAATATCCCCAATTTCTAAGAGTAGTTCAACAACTTGCAGAGAACAGGTGTTAGTTCGGGAGCACATTTCTTGAGAACAATCGGTGGGATTTCGTCGAAGCTACAAGCCTTTGTTGGTGTTGAGACCCAATATAATCTGCCTTATAATACTTTGGCAAAAGGTGATCTCGGGCATATGACTGTCAATTGGCTTTATGTTTGGAGGATGTTTTCCCGAAGAATCCAGAGTGGAATTTCCAGCAAATAAATGCGCAAAAATGTTGGCTTTGAT